AGCAATGAACAGTCTTCCCTCTTTTTCTAAAGGTCTTGCTTGTATCCTTATTATCCAACCCTACGGTAGAGGCACAGAAGATCGGGCTACCTAGAACACCAAAGCGTTAGCTGAAGTAAGCGAATTGGAAGACTGTACATTCGTGGGGCTCGGGGGTTCATCGAAAATAGAGCGATAACATCCTCGGCTGAACTCCCAGGTAGTTATCCAGGTCATGAGACTGGGGACGATAAGAGCCTAGTAGACGCCTATGCATTTACTATGTTCTGGCTCCGCTGTCCGACTTCTTGGCATGCATAAACCAGGAACCTCCTAGTTGTGGTACTTGCTGATATTATTACTTTATTATCAGGCTCAGAAGTTAACCAGTACCGAAGCCAACCGTCACATTGCGTCATTTGTCCTCTCGGGGCGCCCTGTACAGTAAACACTAAGAAAAACATTCAGCTGCAACATCCCAACAGTGCAAACAACTCTACCGAGCACAAGTAGCAAATTGAAAGAAAAATGCGAAGGCCAGTTTCAGAAAATGGCAAATTGGTGCGTTTGCGTGGGTTACATCTAATATTTACTGACACAAACGGCAATATTTGGAGAAATAAAACCATCAAACACCTTCACAAGGCACATCCCGTGTCCTAATTGATATGGACCTTTTAAAGTTGGTAATTTTGTCCTGAGGTTGGGCTATGTTTACATCAAATTATGTTTCGTCAAATAGATGAGGAAGCATAGAATTCGAGGAAAGAGAAACTGTGACTCACCTCCTCTGTGAAATGTGAACAGCTTGCGGAGGGTGGGAAGACGTTTTTTCCAGACATTTACTTGTCACTGATTGTAATCTAATAGAGGCTGGGATAATGAAAAAAAGGATAGTAAACGTGAACGCTCGAGAAATTATCGAAAATGCTTTATTATTTTGAGTGCAGCAAAAGACAGACTGCAGTCCGCAGCACAGCACTTGAATAGTTAGTCAAGCGGGAAATATTGTTATTACTGTAATTTTATAGAAAACGTATTTTTATTATAATAAAAGTACGTGTTTTATAGAAACACGTATAACTTAAATTAAAAATCAACGCCATCAAAAATAAAACAGGAAGGTTGAATAAAGGCGAACAAAAGGAATACTGGGTGATAGAAGAATTGTTCCTCTCTGCCCTTCAAATCGTCTCGCTTAGGCCCGCAGGCCTGGAAGGAAGGCTGGTATTAGCAATCCTGCAAACTCCAACAAAGACTTGAACCCGTCCCTTTTTTATTAGTCGATTTGAACAAGAGATTTTCTTCAGGTATTCAAAGGTGTATGAGAGTTTGAAATCATAAGTGGTATTTAAGATTAGTTGCTTTTCATTGTTTTCATCAACAAGCTTAAGCTACTGCTAAAAACCACCAATCCTTAAACTGAACAGTTAGGCCAGCACGTAAAACTGATAGATCAACGATGCCGATAGTTGGTACAGGTAATAAGTAAATCAGTTAGTCGGTTGTAGACGTGCCGAATTTGCCCGTGAATTAAGAACTCTTAAATACCTTGCGACCTTTATGTTATATTCTGCACAAATAGAAAACCCAAGCTTAACATTAAGCTTCAGCGGAAACTCAGAGAGGTGATTTTTCAGTCAGAAATAAACGCGAACGACTCTTTAGAGGGTCGGAGAATTCTGAATATCTAATCAGTTTAACGGTAGAATCTGTATGGTTATGAAACATAAATCAAACGCTTGAGTGCCTAATTGAAATCCGGCCAAGCTTCTCCAAATTCACGTTAGATAGCGTAGGGAAAACACTTAGTGGCTAGTATAATAGCTCAACAATGAGTCCTTGCAGCCCGGCTCATAGCGACCTGTTGCATATGCAGCGAAGGAGCAACGACGAAGGCAGGAGATACGAAGATGACCTTGTTAGCTCATTTGTTCTGTAAACCCCGGAGTAGGTAAGCCTGTGTGACGACGATTAATAGACCAAAAATTTTTAACTTAGGCTTCTCTGCTTTTCTACAGCAGTTGATTGTCTTTGAGTCAAATCTTCATTGAAATTTCTGTTCTGACCCTAAAAATCATGTCTCAGGCAATTAACTCAATTTCCTGAGCTTAGCGATTTCCGAACTTATCCGCCTGATTATTGTCTGGAGTTCACGTGCCAGAAACCGCATAGAGAACGCTGGGAGACTCACTGAGTAGCCGAATCCCTCGCTAGTGTGCCATGCAGCGGCAAAAACGTCGGCTAACACGTGTCCGGGCTTTAAGCTAATATCAATATCCGTTGTATGGTATAATGCCTTTGCCACATGCACAAAAACCTTAGATAAGCTAAATTCTGAAATGCGTTTTCGACTCAGAAAGATTGCTGTAATATTCATCACCGTGCAGTATAATCTTGCAATATTTCAGGTACTTCAGGATGCCAGCCTTTGAAAGGACTTTTTTCGGCTCCCTGCAAAAACTATAGCCTGAAAAAAATGACTACTCAGTCGGCATGAATTTTTCTCATTGATTTTTAATGCCCTCATTAATTCAAAAGGCGGCCGGGATGGACCCCTGATCTCCGAGCTGACAGCTGCTGGACTATGTTTTCGTCCAGCAGTCAGCTCAGCAAGGCGTGATGGTGATCAGGGCGGTCTGCGACGCCGATGGCTGGACGGATGACCACCTCATCATCTTCCAGATGAGACTACCTGCCACCCTGCTGGAGGCCACAAAATAAACGATCCTGAGGAAAGTTAAGTACTGCTATATCAAATTTGCCCCCCCATCGCTTGTGTTTCAACAACCAATAAGCCCTGCACCTGGAAGAACTGTCAGACCTAGACAACAACCACACCGAAATTTGGACGGGCTGCATAAGGCTTTCATGAACCAGCGGATTGACGCCAACAATGTGACCTTTTTCCGCTATCGCCGCCTCGTGCAGCAGCGATTGAGGAGAACGAAAGATGCCTATATTACTTGAAAGGGCGGTATATCGGCCGCAATAAAGCAAAAAACTTCTTCGCATCATTTAAAAAGCCAAGTTCGGCAAATGTATACTTTTACTTATTCATCATCAGGCCTATATAGTAAAATAAGATAAGGGAGAGTAGTCAAAATAAAACAGCTAAATCAGGGAGTGGATAAGTTCATCTCTACAAAAATTGTGGCTCACTTGATTGACAGTGACCACCAGGTTGACGTCAGCCAAGCACTCCGAGTCACCTATAAAGTGCCAATGAGACACTCCAAGTCCCCGGGTCAGTGGATACTTGCGACGATAGAGGCAGTGGCCATACGGGTAATTGACCCAACCGTTTGCTTACACAAAGCGTTTTTACAAGCGCTAAGGCTCCCCTGGGCAAAGACGAACCTGCATATGTGTCCACACCCCCTGCCACGTCGTGTCACAGCGA